AGGCCTATAGGAGCTCAAACTGCCATCTGGCGCAAAAAGTTTCGCCACGTCGTCATCCCGCAAAAACCCCTAAAACCCCAAACGGATGAGGATCGGCTTGTACCGACTTTCGGATTGAAGTAAACTGCAACCTGCTGCAGAACTGTGCGAGGCCTCGGAAAGTAGGCAAAACACGGCGTCTCACGGCACGCACAAGGGGCACTTATCTGAATCCCCGGCCCTCGACCCTCAAGTCCAGAACGTTGCAGATCGTCTCTTGCCTGGTGTTGTTGCTGCTTGGCGGCAAAAAGAACCCTGCGTGACCCTGTTGTGGAGCCCGTAGCCCACGCAAAATAAGGAATAGACCTTAATATATTTAGGGATCCTTAGTATGGTTTGCGGTGTATTCCTTACTTAACGGGAAGTGGGCCCTTTGGGTTTTTTCATAGAGCTTGCGGATCTGTGGGACAGCTAGCCAAGACTTGAGCATACCAAGGCTGCCATGCGAGCATGCCTCACCACCCTTAAACCCTAGACCTGAAACGAGCCCCAAAAGCCCTGCACCCTTTGCGGAAAAACCTAACCCAGGACTCTAGACCCTTTTCGCCCTAACCCCCAAAACCGTTTCTCTAAACTCTCAACCCTTTTCTCTAAAACCCTAAGCCCGAAACTCACCCATAAACCCCGAAACTCCCCCTGAACCCCCAACAACTCCCCAAAGGCCGCTGACCCAAGGCAGCGGAGGCGCAGCGCGCAACGCGCTTCTCAGGGAGCTCTCTTCAGTGCTAATGTTGCAACCTGAGTCCCGGCATTTTTTTCTTTTTTTGGGGCGGGGGGTGGGCCGGGGGCGTGGGGGGTAAGGGTTCAGGTTTTGCAGGTTTCAAGTGGTTTATAGGGTCTCAGGTCTTTTTTTCTTTTTTTTTTTTTTTTTTTGGGGGGGGGGGGGGGGGGAACTTCGGCTCACTCGCACGCAGCAGGCAAGGTCCAACTCTCCAACGCTTCAACTCGACTCATATGGCCAGCCTACCAGGATGGGTTGGAATGTTCCCCCTTAAATTCACAATCCTCAATCGGGATTATCATAGGGGGTACTATCATCCCTACTAAGGACTGTTCGTATGAGGGGGATGGGCCATTAGGCCTTAGGAACATAATCAACCCTATAAAGGGCCTTTTTTGAGAGGTTTTCGGGTATGACAGTCCATCCTGGTGCTTACCCTGTATACAGCACCAACCTTAGTTGTCCAATATCCTGTGGAAACTATAGGTTCAGTGGGGGCTAAAGGTTGAGGGCTGGACGCAGGGTTTCAGACGTGCAGAGTTCTATGGGTTCGGAGCTGGCAGTAACAGTGCCAACACCCTAGTAGAGGAGCCTGAACACGTCCAGCGAGCCTGATCAAAGGGAGCAGTTTTAATTTTTGGCTTTTGGTAATGCTGGCAAAGCTCACCTTTCACATCTTTGCCGTGGCTTTGAGATGCAAACCTAAACGTAAACCTTGAAACCCTTTTCGAACCCTAAACCACAATAAACGGAACCTTAAACCCTCAGTGCCCGGCATTTCCCCAGGGGCATGGCCGATGGCGGGGGCGGCATCAGCCTTTGTGCCGCGCCGGCCTGACCTGAAATATGATCCTCTGAAACCCAATAAAGGACAATATCATCCCAAGGGACCACCGTTAGCTGTTCAACCGAGTCGATGGCGCTGAACTTTAGGGTTCTGGAGGTGTTGGTAAAGCTGAGGCTGTTGAGCCCTCGCTTTCCCACCCGACACAAAGGCCACATTGCAGGGAACATAGTCTGGTCAATCAAAGCGAAAGGGAGATCGGGAGATAAAGCCATCGCAGAAAAAGCGCTCCAAATGGTTGGTCTTTTGAGCGCAATCTCCATGTGATGATGGTTTGCCCTCCTGGCACCTTCAGGTGCGGAGTGCTTTGGTCCGCACTTGTGCGGCTGTACAGGTAAACCAACCCCTTGTTATAAGGGAGTCCCCCACGGTGTTGTACAAGCGGACAGCTTTCGGGGGGGGCACGAAAATCTGATGAGTACACGAGTCTACTTGCCCTGCTTCATCATCAGGGAGCGCTTCCTCTGAGTTTTCTGCATCTGGGTCTCCTCATCGCCATTGGCCTTCCACAAGCCGCGGTGAAGAACCTCGGCTGCAGCATCATGCACCTTCTCCCAGCCATGGAAGCGTCCGCGCTGGCTCAGAGTGCCAACAGCGTTGGGGAACGCATGGTGAACGTCATGGAACAGCATCTCGTTCCAGCGGTGCTTGCCACCCAGAACCATGGCCATGACGTTGTGCAGCACTGGCCAGGTACGGCCCGGATCCTGCGCGAGGAACTCGTTCCAGGGAAGGGAGTGCGTGAAGTTGGTGATGAACATCCAGGCCGCCGAGAACCCAATGCGGGCAAAGAACGACACAGTGAACATGAAGCGCCAGCCCTCGCTCAAGGGGCGTCCCAGAGGGTAGGTGCCGAGTAGCCACACGAAGGCCCACAGGGACAGGACAAAAGCATTGTGTTTGATGCGGCGAGGAACCCATTTGCTCCAGAACTCCTTATTGCACTTGCCGCCTGCGCCCTCATCCGGGAAGTGCATCCACCACTCCAGGGCGAAGAGGGATCCGGTGTCGTTCAGGCCAAAGAAGTGGATCACAGGAATGAACGGCACGGTGAGCAGGTACTTGTACCAGTTGGAGCTCCATGGGCCTGCCCACTGCTGCAAGGCATAGTGGAACTCCTCAGGGTCCCAGCCGAACTCGCCCTGGATGAGCAAGTCCACAGTGGACGCGTGATGCCTGTTGTGCTCCAGCACGAACTCCTCCCACGGCAGGGAGAAAAAGTCCGCAAACCTATACTGAACTTGGAACCCTGGCAAAAATTGCAATTATGGCTGTTTCTTAGGGGTTATAGTTCCCAACAATTAAACATATTCCCAATGATTCCTAAGAAACGGGTGGGTCAAGAAGCGCTGCCATTCGTACACGGGGAAGGTTGCACCGTGCATGACATCATGATCGATGTAGATCTGCTGGATGGCGATGTACGAAAACGGGATGCCGAAGCACAGCGTGCAAGTCCACCAAAAGTCTGGGAAGCAGGCCAAGGCCGCACAATAGGCGACTACCATCAACACTTGGCTGAAGAAGATTGCCGTGAGCACGTTCCACATGTATATCATTTGCTCAGGCGTAATCTTGGTGAAGAGGAACGCCAAGTTTTGCGGCATGGGGTCTGGCTTGTTCGGGGTCGGGAAAAGCCGATTGGTCTTCAGACTCCTGTTCTCGTTGTTTTTCTGAACCGAAAGCATCTTGTCGCTGCTTTGCGCAACGCCTGCCGCATTCGGGTCTCCTTCACCAGGCAGTGCGTTTTTGAGAGCGGCGATCTCGTGATCATGCCTTGGTAGCCCCGTAACCATATAATAATGAGCGCACCCTTTTTGGTTGGCTAATTTACAAGGGAACCTTGAACCAAAAAACAGGGAAAAGGGCACCACTGGGCTACCAAGATGCTCATACTTGCGCTTGAGCTCCTCGAGGTACTCATCCGCGCCATAGAAGATCGAGGCCTTGCTGTGGGCCTGGGCCTTGCCCTCCTTGGCCAAGAGCGGCGCGCGGGTCGCCATAGATGGCAATGGCGGTCGAAAATTGAAGTTGTGCTTGGACCACAAATCTTGTGCCAAAAAGGCTTGAGCCAAAAATGTGGCGGTTTAGGGTCTGTCTAGCTGATGCATTCGTGCTCTCGCTAGAGACAGACAAACCGGTTCTCACGCGTGCTCAGTGCTGAATCCGTGCGTGCTAGCGCTGATGGCAATCAAGGAAAAAATGTGGGTGTGGGCATCAAGACTTACTTGGAGGTTCATGGGTAGTTCTAAGTCTAGGCAACTATACTTATAGCCCCTTTTAGGGTACTTATCAAACCCCAGTTCTAACTGCCCATGAACCTCCAAGTAGCAAACCTCCCTACGCAAGGGTGGCCTGAGCAGCGGTGACGATCACCTGTATTGGTGGCGCTATGGCTCTCAAACGCCCATGTACTTTGCTTGCGTCCCCAAACCGGCTGTCTGTTACCCAAAACCCTCAACCCAACAAAAGGCGTTGCGCAGTGACCCTAAACCCTAAACCCTAAGCCTCAGGGAAGAACAACTGCGAGAATCAGAGTCAGACGATCCCTGACATGTCTTGCTTGCGATCTTCCTAGCACATTTACAGGGCAGCCTTGAGCCATAAGACTGCACGTGGGATGTAAATGTACAAACACAGCGCACACACGCATACATACATACATACATACATACATACATACATACATACATACATACATACATACATACATACATACATACATACATACATACATACATACATACATACATACATACATATATATATATAGATATACCTATATATATATATGTATATATATATATATATACCGTGTCGCCGTGTCGCCGGTCCCTCCAAACCCTCCCCCACCCCCCAAAGCCTTCAGGCAAACCTTTTGAGTGCAGCATATGTAACGTATGTGATGTATGTAATGTGTGACGTTTAGGAATGTCTGCAATGTATAAGATGTATGCAACACGCATCACGTTATGCAGAATATAATGTCATATCATGTGCTGTACTGTACTATGATGTCGCGTTATGCATGAAATCTCTGGACTTCAAGATGTGGAAGCACTGAGGCTTGAACCACAACAGGTCGTGCTCGCCCGATGAAGACAAATCGCCCAAAGCCCATCCCAAGTACAAGATGGAGCCCTCAACCGCTCCGGGAACCTCTGTGAGACACCCTGGGTTCTACGAGTAGGCGCGGCCCTGGAAAACGAAAAGTATCCCCAAACCTACTAGCACTGTTTGTATACACTTCTATATACTTCTACAAACCCATACAAACTGTTATGCATCATAGAATAGCTTAGGGTTTGGGGTTTAGGGTTTAGAGATTGCAGATTCTACCCCCCTAGGTCAGCCCAGGTCAGCCCCGTGAGCTGCACATCCCGGAGCAGGGCGCACCGGAAGGAGACCGCCTTCAAAAAGCTGTGCCAGCATGGGCTATTAGGCCTTAGAATCCCCCTTACCACTATAAAGGGCCGTTTTCGGGTTATAGGGGTATAATCGCCCATGCAGGTAGTTTCTAGTAATTTCTCTTGGGGTTCTTATGGACCCTGAAGGGGTTTATGGTTTGTAGACCTGAATGTGAATTTGTAGTCCTATAGGGTATATGACCTCAATTGGAGGGTTCGTTGGGTTTCTAGGGTGGTTCCGCGAAGCCAAGGGACCTTGCAACCGCCACAAACATGCCGTTCGGGCAGGTGTGTCTGCGGGCGTTTCAGAGTGGATTTCCAGCGACTTCGGTTTCGAGGACTTGGTTCTTGCTGCGCCGAGAAATGCTGTCAGAAACTGGAAACCTCGAACGAGGATTTGGATGGTGGCCCCGTGCCGTTGCATCCAGAGGGTCCCCATTCCGTGTTTGCGAACTGCAGTTCGCCAGCCAGTCACATGCACAGTGGTGCAGATGTCCTGTAACCGTCTCGGAAGAACCCAAGGCCAAGCAAATATTGTTTTGCACTTAGCACTATTCGGAGCCTGTTATCATATTATTATGATGCTATTCTCTTAAGATATGTTGCCTTTTTGTATGATACTATTTTATTACGCACTGCCTGCACCAAATCTTCGGGTTGCACGACCACTGAGGCCTAAACCTGAACGGGTACCCTATGGAGGTTCTGAAAATAAGGGACTCCTGCTATTTCTCTGTCTCTCTCTCTCTCTCTCTCTCTATTTTAGGGGTCCCATATTTTCGTAAACCCTCATTTGGGGGTCCGAGAAGAATGAAAAGGTCATGGGTTATATAGGGACATATGAAGTTACCGGGTTTATACTTGGTAGTTCTCTCAATTAGGGTTCCTTTTGGGGGTCACTAGTTTAAGGGGTGCCGTACTACATAGGGATGCAAGAAAGGACACTAATGTTGAAAACTGCCCATATAGATGTTCCAAGATTCTCCAAATCCCCGGCGTAGCCTCGTCCGCAAGCAGCTGCTCCCTCAGCACCAAGTTTTGGGGACTAGGGATTACTTAGACCCGAGGCCCTAAACCCTAAACCCGTTTTTTTGAGCAACGGACTTTGAAGGCTGCCGGCAAACATGCAACGTCTTAGAAGTCACATCACGCAAAACATGACGCAAACTGTTCTATGCACCCACATCACCATGAGGAAGCACACGTGAATTGAGGAAAGAAATCTGCAAGGCCGTGACCCTAAACCCTAAACCCTAAACCGCTTTAGGGCGTAAAATGGCATCCCCTGACCTACCATTTTTTGCGCGGCGCCTGACGCGCAAAACAAAAAAAAAAACGAAGCCACAGCCGGACCCCCAATGGTCATCATGATCGGTTACGTAGGGGTTTCAAGGTTTAGGGTTTAGGTTTTTTTCTCGCTCCCGCATAGCTGGCCGAACCACAAAGCAGGGCTTAATCGCTCACGCTCGGACACGCCAGGTGAGGTACTGTCCCGTGGTCTTGCTGTCGAGCCCCAAAGCAGTAGGGTTTAGCGTTTACTCAGATGCAAACCTGCACTGCGACGGGAAACAGCGACTGCGAAAAGACCACGGGACGGTATGAACGAGTATGACCGGGTATGCCCGGGTCTGACCGGGCATGCCTGGGTATGACCAAGTATGACCGGGTATGACCGGGTACGCGCAGGTCTGACCGGGTATGCCCGTGTATGCCCGGGTATGACCGAGTATGACCAGGCATGACCGGATGTGACCGCGTATGCCCGGGTATGTATGACTGGTTATGACCGAGTATGACCGCGTATGACCGAGTGTGACCGGGTACTCGGGCGTACTCGGGCGTACTCGGGCTGCAGTCGCGGAATGTGGCCGCAATGCAAACCTGAATCCACAAACAAGTAGCTGCGGAGGTTGTGCAACAACAGCGTCCCTCCCGTGGCCCTGCTTACAAGGGATCCTATTCCTTAGAAAGGGGGCCCTAGTGGGCCCTGCTTCGGAACAACCCCCAATCAGAGTTTAACTATACTCCCCTTAGAACCTTAACAAAAAATATGTTTAATATCCTCTTGGGTTTTATATAAGCAAAAGTAAAATTCCCAAGGGGGATATAGGTAAAGCAGGGTGAGGATTCGTCAAACATAAGGCCCCCGCATGTCCTGCCTCGACATGTCCTCTTTCATCGGCGAGTTCACGCACGTCCTCCCCCAAGCACAGGCTCGCATAGCTTCTATAAGGCATAGCGTAAAAACAGCAGCAGAGGAGTAGAAATTAGAATACGGCTTTGGGGGTTATTATAGTATAGTTATAAAAGGACCCTAAGGGTATATGATTAGTCATTATTCCAACTCCTCAACTACTGTTTGCTTCAGAACCCCAAAAAATGAAAATGATAATCCCTAAAAATTACCCTTATGAGGAAGAATACTTTTTAAGTTTTTGGGTGTTCTTAAGCAATTCGAAGTAAAGTAGATTCAAAGGCATCCGGCCTCGTTCCGCCGGATGCGTCCACGAGCACGGTGCTGAAGGTTGACGACCTGGCTGGGTTTAGGGTTTGGGGAAGTTTAGGGTTTAGGGTTTATAGGGGTTAGGGGTTCAGGGGTTAGGGTTCTAGGTAGCGGCCATGTGGGCACCCTGAGAGATTTTGTCCCACCAAAGGCTGAGAATCCACAACTGCCACACGAAGAGAAGACCCAGAGAGCCCAGTTTTTCCAAGGCCCTTTAATTAAGGAAGATGCCTTAAGCTAAAGAATCATAATAATAATAATAAAAGCAATAGTAATAGTAATAATCATAATCATAATCATAATAATAATAATAATAATAACAATAACAATAGTATAAGGGATCCTGCATATGGGTTGCGGTACGTACGGTATTTGAAGGGTATTGGGCTCTTCGGGGATCAACGCGAGCCCTCCATGGCGCGGCACGAACCCTAGAAGCCCTTGAAGGGCCCCAAACCCTAAACCCTAAACCCTAAACCCTAAACCCTAAACCCCAAACCCTAAACCCCAAACCCGAAACCCTAGACCCTAAACCCTAAACTTTACCCTAAACCCTAAACCCCCCCCCCCCCCCCAAGGCCCGTGCTGGCCCTTCGCCCGCAGGGCGAAGCTCGTGTCGACGCCCTGGTCCTCTAGGCCTGGGGCTGATCCAGGGGTCGTGGCCCCCCTCCTCTCGTTAGGGTTTAGGGTTTAGGGCGGGTGGCTGTGATTGCGTTGCACACCCCCTTCATAGAATCACGCACTGAGCTTTAGGGGATGTCAGGTGTATGGAAGATTGATTCGAGAAACAAGAAGCTGCGAGGCCCCCGGCTTGAGCCCGACACCCCAAACCCCGAACCCGCTAAGGAATTCCCCTGTTAAAATTAGGGTTTAGGGTTCAGGTTGACATTCTGTGGCCTACATATATGTAAGGCTATACACTGGATTATAGGACCGGTCGATCGTCAGAATGACTCTCCGTGCCATCCGCGAGCCTGGAGTCGGGACACTACGCCTCCTCTTAATTGGGGTGTCTCTAAAATTAGGTACCTGCTGGGGCATCATGAAGGAATCCTGCTATTTGGGGGTCTACATTAAGGGCCCCCAGTCGATGCTAGCGGTCCCTTATTTTCGCAAATTTACCCCCCCCAATTATGCTCGAAGTCTGAAGGGTTTAGGGTGTTAGACTTTAGGGTTGAAATACGACACCTCGGTGTGGCTAGAGAGTGGGGAAGGGGCATCCGCTGAAGTCTCTCAGGAACCTTGCGCAGGCGTGATGAAGCTGTGGAAATTCGGAGCGCGCCAAAGCTCAAAAAGCAACGTTCGCAAACAGCACCGTCTGAGTCCATCAGGGGTCAAGGGAAGAAGCGGTCGTATGAGGCAAAGGACATGACAGTCGCCATACTTGTAAACCCTTTGAGGGGGCGCTATATGCGGAGTCTTGATAACCTACTTGGAGGTTCATGGGTGGTTAAGCCTACATACAAGTACCCAACTATCCAACATCCGTGTACAGTGCAACCCTCTTTTGCATCCTCCACTACAATTATGTAAGCTAATTCTACCCACGTACCTCCAAGTTAGTTGCCGCGGAGTGGCCCTCCACGATGGAATTCCCCAGCGCATCATCTCCCACCTGCAGGTCGCCAGTGGGTTCTAAGACCTCTGAGTTTTTTTCTTTCAAGACCTTTGGCCTCAAAACCCTGAACCGCTGAACCCCATGAACCCTGAACCCCAGGCTCAGAACTTCCCTAAGAAGCCTGGCAAGCCCGAACATCGCCAGGCCTGGGTCATCAATCCGTCCACCCGTATCGTGGGCCCGAAGCCAAAATCCCCAAGAGGAGGCTAGCTTAGACCAAAAAGAAATTGGGGCTGTATATAGGGTGCCATATCAGGGATGTATATTTGAAGTCACTGAAGACAAGCCAAGGTCGGCTTAAGGTGAACCTGCCAGGAACTAAGAGCCCTTAAAACTTACCTCTGTACGAGGTTAAGGGTTTAGGGTTTCCTTTGGAGCAAAGCTGCCAGCCGCGCGTTTTGCTCGACTCTATTTGGACCCGGATGCTCTGATCAATCTCCCAAAAGGGGGTGGCCCGGAAACAGCCTCAACCCCAAGATGCCCCTCTTAAGACTGGAGTGCTCAAAATCCCAACTCTAAACACATTGAACACATTGAAACACCAGAGTCCTAAACATCGTAAAGTCTCCCAGCACCAGTACATACTCAGCCAAGAATGCTGCCGTTTCCTAGGTGGCCCAGAACCAGAAGACGACATCCCTTTGTCTCGCAATAAACAAGACAGTAGGGCAGCCCTAGTCCTCAACCTTGAACCCTAAACACTAAACCCTAAACCCTATAGTGTTCCCTCAACCTTGAACCCTTCTCCCCCTGCCTTTGACAGGAGGCGAGGCCGGCTGCCAAGCTTCGCCAGGGCCGCGGCGGTGTTCGCCGCGTTGCCCCCGCCACGCCAGGCGGTCTGGAGGGCGCGCACCTCTTGGGGGCCCAAGGGCTTCGACTCTCACACTAGCGCACGCGCGGGCAAGGGGTTGAGGGTTTAGGGGCCGGCCCAAAAGGTGGAGTTGGGGGAAGTTGGAGGGCTTAGGCTTAAGATGGGGACTAGTGGGGACGATTTGCAATCTTGCCGCATTGGGTGGTGGCAGCAGCTTTTGTGCTCTGCTTGGGGACAAGCAGAACTCTCGTAGGATCCGAGGTCCACTCGCTTGGAAGGCCTGGCAAGGCCCATAACAGGGCCAGGGATCTTTTTCTGTACCATCACAGCTCGGAGGGGCAGGCCAGAAGCAACCAAATGGAGATCCTCGCATCCAAAGCTAGCTAGTGGCGCGAGCTATGACAAGCTCAGCAACAGAACATACAAGCTTATAGGGGGATTTCAACATGGCATTGTGTAAAACAAGCCCTGACGGATTCTCTCGGTGCCGTCCAATGTCTACAGCTTTTGCCGCCTTGGCATCCGCTTCGGGAAAGGAGTCCAGCTGCTGGGCAATGTCCTACCAGGACGCGTCTTTGTTGCCCAAACAGCGTGTCAACACTAAGGGGTTCTTAACGTGCCAAGTACTTGGAGGTTCATGGGTAGTTAGAAGTAGGGTCATAAGTAGACGCGTGGGCGCCCGCTCCGGACCATGGGTTTTGCTCGAAGCCTGCTCGCACATTGGACGACATTCGCGTGGTCACCTAGGTGCGTGCCTGCGCTCGCCGTCCTCAAAACTGTCATCACGTGTCTGCTCCTGGGCTCGCGAAACGCGAAACTGTTGTCGCTGTTGGACGGATGGGCACGCGAAACGCGAGACTGTCGTCCCTGGCATCTCGACTTGTCGCCGCAAGTGCGAACCTGGTGTCGTTGTTGGACTTCGGGGCTCTTGATGTTTTTTGGACTCGGCTCTTCCGTCTACGCTGGCATTCATGAATATTCAATGGACCTGTGGTGTGCAAAGTTGAGGGTGCCTAGGCTCGGTAAGGATTAAGTGGTCCCGGCTCTGTAGCGAAGCAGCATTCTATATTGGGGGGATGAGACGGCCGCGCTGTCCGAGGGTTTAGGGTGTAGTGTTTCGACTCTCACGCTGGGGCGTAGTGTTTAGGGTTTAGGGTTTAGGGTCTAGGGTCTCTCCACATCCCGGAAGCTCTCTGAACCTTGATGCCTCAGCCAACAGTGCTTCACCCTCTGCACTCTCAATGTCTCCCAGCCCTACAGCAATCCCAACCGCAAGAGTTTCTACAATTCGACACACAGAATTCAGAACGAATCACACAGAGCAGTACCTTGAACCTTCTTTGTACTGAGCCAAAATCGCACAAGGCCCAAGGCCCCCCACCATGCATGCCAGGCCGCAAAGCACCTCGGCCCGGTGAGGCCCTTTTTTTAGAGGCAGCCGAGGCTTCGGCTGAAGGCTTCACTGAGTTTTATAGGATTTGCGAGGGTTTCGTAAGCTTTTTTGGGGAATTGTAGGTGGCATGTGCTCACCCAGGGCGTATCATAGGGTCTAGGGGCACGCAGGGTCGGCTGTTCCCTTAGTGCGGCTCGCTGGCAATGTCCCCTGAGGAGTGCTGGCCCACATCTCTACTGCGCGGAGGTTCTGGCACAAAACAGCCTCCCTATACCTACACCGAAGCACACCATACCTCTCGCGCAAGCCTTGCGCCATACGCGTTTGTTCCGAATGTTGACGCACCAATCTGTGGATGCCGCCAAACCGAACCGTCACCCAACACACAGCCCTAGGCCTTATGTAAGCCCTATAAGCCCCTATAGCCCTAGAAGCCATAATGGCCCTATAAGCCCTGCAAGGCCTATAGGCCCTATCAACCTTAAACCCCACACCCTCAGCTGCAAGACCTGGAGCCGCAACTCGCAGGGCACAAGGGCACAGGCACGAACAAAAAGCGGCGGAATGGAGCTGTGGCTAGGCCCCATGCAACTTCACCAGCAGCTGCCGCTTCCTCTGGTAGTTTTAATTTTTAAAAGTCTCGTCAGGGCCGACTCACTTCAGGGTCTGGGGTAGCTGGGCAAAAGGAAGCAGTGGGCAACATGGCTACAAGCCCCGGAAGCCTGCCAAGTAAACTGCAGGTAGGAATCACAACCCGTCAAAATCGAAACCTAATCCCTTCCCCCTATTAAAAAGCCCCCCCCCCCCCCCCCCCGCAGTATAAAAACCCCTCAAAACCCCTAATTAAAGGGTTTTGAGTATTAGGGGGGGGGGTGGGTTCTGATCGTTTGGCTCAGTCATAGATCAGGTTTCAAGCTTTAGGCCTAATAAGTTTCAGGCTTCCCCGCCCCCTAATTCTGTAGAGATATGGAAAGGGGCGACTGCCGGACCGGGTTTTGGGGCCAGAGGGTTTTTTTAATATTAGGGGTGTATTTATATTAGGGGGAAGGGATGCCGCCACAGCCAAGAACTTTCTCTATATTATGTTAAATTATGTGATATGAAAATTCAATACAGTATTATAACGTAAAATAAGGAATCGTGCTCGGACAGTTCCTTTCTGACCCGCACCTGGTGCGTACCCCAGGTGAGTGCCTCCGTGATGTACGTTGGGCACTCCTGCACAGCACATGCCCGGAGAGACGTGTTCCACACACATGTGCTGCACCCTATGCCACATGGCCACATGGCAAAGGGTCCCCAACACAGCTAGTAGCCCCTGAAGCATCGGGCCCTTCAATCAAATCTAGCGGATCACAACCTTGCAGGCTCTAAGCTGAGGTCATCCAAGGCAGGCCAGGCGCATCTTTTTCGGTCGGCATGATCGGATGGGAGATGTAGCAAATCCACATCGCCGAGAGCGCGGTGCGTGATGGCCAGCTCCCTTTGCTGCCAAGGGGAGCTCTCTTACAGCACGTCTGAAAATGAACCCTGAATTCGGGTTATATACCCTATACTACTATAATTCCTATTAAGTTATATGAACCAAAAACCCTTTTAGGGTTCATTTAGCCCCCAAGGTAGCTGAATGCCAAGCCAGCCAAATCATCCGACCGTATCCTGTCTCACTCTTGTACAAGTACTCGTAGCGTGCGCAGGAACCTGAGATCCGGAGTCCTGGCAAAGCCCCTGCTCCAACATAGGAGAGGCCAGCTGCACCGCGAGCCCCCCTCGTCAAGAATACCAATTAACTATGGGGAGGGTTCTCTAAACTAGGGTCCCTCATGGGCTTCCTTTGTCATATGAAACCTTATATATATATATATATGTATGTGTTTTTACTTGTTTCTTTTTGTATTTATGATTAATGTGTGTAATTATATATATATATAAAGAGGGTACCGCAGAAGGTGCCTTTTTTAGACACCGTTCGGGGCTTGACGGGGGGGCTCCTGGAACATTTTTGTTTGAGACTACGGCGCTCCACGCGCCTGAGCTTGTGCCAAGTCGCCGGGTGTGTCGTTCAATGTCACATCTTGGGGGAGTTTTGAGGGATGCGCACACTCGTGGGAGGCTGACCACTCAAGTGGGATCATGCAGGTGTAGCGTGTGCTGCGGCAAGCTAGCTCAAGCTCAGGCCACGATGAGAGACCGTGCGTGGTGAGCGCGGCTCTCGGAGATGCTACAGTATAGAAGTAGGTGTAGGTTTAGGGTTTATAGGGTTTAGGGCTTTTTTTGCCACCGCCTAGCTGACACTCAGGCCACATTGCAGGGACCAATACTTCTCATTTAGGGTTTAGGTCTTAGGGTTTGCGGTTTAGGATAGCGTGCTCTCCACTGAGCACCCACACGCAAGAGCTCAACCCTCCCCACGCCCCGCGGCGCAGTGGCTCAAACCAAAACGAGCTTGGTATCCGCCATGCCATACTCAGCCTCCAGGGATGCGAACCGCTTCGTCACTTTGGGGTATTGGGGGGGGGGGGGGGGGGCGCCTAGCAAAGAATATAGGGGCACCCGAGTAAGTAGAATAGGGTTTTGGGTGGTTCTGGTAGTCAAGGGAATATACTATTATTATTAGTAATTATTCCGACCCTCTCGTATATTGTTCGACCAACTTGCACGTCCTCTGATTCTGCTGACTTCCCCGCCATGCAGCTCTAATAACTTGGGCCTCCAGGCTTTTTTGTTGGGCTCAAAGTTTCGGGCGAAGGGTTTCAAAGAGGGTGCAATCTCCCCCAAAAATTCAACCTCCCCCTGAACCCCCCCCCCCCCCCCTAATATACAATAGCACTATCATGGGGGTATTAAATATTCGGGGGTCCGGGGGGGAGGAAAATTATGAGGGGGAGGGGCTGAGGGGCTTACAGTACAGTGCACAGGGCATCTCCCAGGCCATCCTTGGAATGGTCATTTAGGGCTTGTAGGGTTGTCATCTGGGACGTGGGGTTCAGCCTTGTGCTGCTCAAACAGCTGCTCCAAAGCTTCGCAATACTGGCGGTGGAACATGTCAACCTGCCTCAGATGATGATTGGACTGCATGTGAGTAGTGTCTTTGTACGTGTTCAAGGCGTCTACGCATGGGTTGCGGGAACGCTTGCCATTCAGGCCCCAGAAGGAAGCATTCTGCATGGGAATCAGGGAAATTCGAAAGGTGGCTACTGCAAACTTGCTGTATTGACGTGTGCTGTTGATCACGGCGCGTGAACCAACCAAGTATTGAAAGGGCCAGCCTTGATCCCGAATTGCTTGCTCAGCAGCTCATCAGGTGGCTCCGGCCACGTGCGAGGTGGCCACAAAGGAGCTCCCACAAGCGTGGTGACCTGGATCAGAAAGACTCTTCAAGAGCAAGGAAACACTACTGTAGCTACCAGGGCTTCCATACACTACCCGCCCGGAGTTAGAGGACAGCATCTGCCTACTGCTGTCATTGCCGTTACCACAAGCCCGAAGGAAGGTCCTCTATCTCGGCAACAAGGTTCTTTGAACTAGACTCTATACTCGAATATAAACTACGTCCTAAACCCTTACACCCCACATTTCAGCCGTTAAACCCTCAACCCCCTCAACCCCCCCCCCCCCCCTAACCACGTGCGCCCTCAAGCGGCGGGCTGGCGCCGGGGGACCAGCGGAAGCCAGGTGCGGCCGCAGAAAAGCGGCAGGGCGAAACCCAGGCCTCAATCGCGTCGCATCTTAAACATTGTATGTATACCCAAAGAGCCAAAAAAATCCCTGAAAGAAAGAATATGCCATAAACTACAAAGGGGTCCTGAATATGATTGAAGGTCTATTCCTTCAGCCCCCCGTTTTGCGAACTTTGGGGATCTGATATTTCGAAGCAGACACGGTGGTTGAACAACAACACTTTTTGGCGGTGACTTTGGTGATATACATGCCTGACGCAAACACTTTGATGAACAAAATTCGGCCCCGTTTTGTTATTAGCACTTTGAAATTTGGTGATGCAGACACAGTGCTGATTAACAAAACAGCCTCATTTTGTCAGTGATCTGATGGTCTGATGCAAACACATTGATGATCACATAGTTGGTAGGAACTTTGCTGATCTTGAGCCAAAATGGCTACATAAGGGTTTAGAAAGTAAGTGCTACGGTGTCGCGTGAGTCAATCAAGGCGCACCCGTGTTGGTGTACTTCTTGCGTCTTCTGCACATATTCCTCTGCTCATGGGCGTACGTGCACATAGGCTTCGAACCGGCCGCACGCGCGCGCGCGCACGACATACCACAACAAACGAACTGGCCAAACCCCTGGACCTGCATGCAGGCTCGAGATCGCGGTCACAGAATAGAATTCTTTAAGTAGGTACGTTATGGAACCTTTTTTCGTCTACTGGGTTTTACAAACAGGGAGTAGGCTTTGGGATTCTCTGCTCTGAACTGCTACTATTTGCTCAAGAAAGTATTCATAAATATGACCCTCTTAAACCCACTTGGGGGGGGGGGGGGGGGGCGGGCGACAGGTGTTGATCAGGGTATGTTTCGCGGGAATGTTTCGCGGAATGATCAGCTGCTTTACTTGCAACTTAGGGGGTGTTTTTCGCGGGTGTGCAACCCGCGTGCCCTTCTTAAACCTGGGCCCCCAAAAAACACAAACCCAACTAGGTAAAATATAAATATCCCAAGGGTCTAACCCTAAACCCCAAACCCTGAACCCGAAACCCGAAACCCTAAACCCGAAACCCTAAACCCTACCTCGATGCCACAGCCGGGTTGCGATTCTGCAGGTGCTCCTGGACTTTTCGACCGAGGCTGCCTTTCTCGAACTGCACGGTGGCGTAGAGGTCGTTCCTGGGCGAGACCACGAGGGCTTGGGGATTAGGGTTTCGGGTTCAGGGGTTAGGGTTTAGGGTTTAGGGTTGAGGGTAGGGTTCAGGGGCTAGGGCTTAGGGTTCAGGGTTTGGGTTTTGGGTTTAAGACCTACTTGGCTCACAAGCGTGCGGTGAAATCAAGAATCCAGCGCGCACGCCTTGCGTATCGTGGACCGATTCACACGGACTAGTGGAACCCTAAACCCTAAACCCTGAACCCTAAACTCAGGGCCTAAGCCGCCCCCCTACGTTGGGGGGCGGCGCTTAAGCCCTTTGACCTCGATGGCACAAGCCGACCCAGGTCGCTCGCCCGCCTCCCACAGCATTGGGCCCGGTACGTCCCTTATAATAAAGTAATTACCCTTGACCCCTCCCCTAATGCTGGGGGTGGCTGGCCTTTTTTGGGGGGTACCCCCCGGGACCCTAGGCCAGGAGGACCCGGACCCTTCGCCGCAGCGTGCTCAGGGACCAGGGCCTCAGGCCGGGCGGGTGCTCACGCCCCTACCGCTTTTGATCGCTGGCCTGGCCCCCGCTGGCCCCCCTGGCCCCCCTCCCCCCGTGGCCCCTGGCCCCCCTGGCCCCTCTGGCCTCCCTGGCCCGCTGCCCCCCCTACTCTCTGTTTGGCCCGGCTTCGGGGCCTCTATCTTACCTTCGAGACCTTGCTGGCACCCTTGACTCTCGGATTCAACCAACATCAAAGTTTTGAAGAGTGGACTGTCGTCTGAGTTTAGGCCTAAACCCTAAAAGGAATAGGTTTGGGTGGCTTTGCCGCCTTGGACGGCGTGGGGTGGGAGAAAAGTGTTTAGATGGCCCTCCACAATCGGGCCAAAGCTGCTCTTCAGCACCTCACGAAGCTTTCGAGCTTGTTCCGAAACCTAACCTTCACAGCATCTACGCCCTATCACAGCAAACCCTAAACCCTAAACCCTAAACCCAAAACCCTAAACCCTAAACCCTAAACCCTAGGGGAAGTTCTTCTGAGGATGACCGGGACCAGATCAGGGCCACAGCGGCGAGGGCTACGAGATGCGACTGTTGTCCCCCCGCCCCCATCACTTCAATCCCCTTTTCAACCAGGCGCCTGGTGTATGCCTAGAAGTGAGACGCCACATCCCTAAACCCTAAACCCTGAACCCTGAACCCTAAACCCTAAACCCCGCCCCATCAGCCCCAAGTTCCCTTCACTCACCCCCCCCAAAAAACGACGAATATCCCCCCAGGCCTCAGGCCTCAAAATCCTCAAGCCCAACTCCCTGGAGTCCCTAGAAGACCTCAGACCTACAGACCTTAGGACCCCAAACCCTAAACCCTAAACCCCTGAGGCTTAGGGGGAGGAGACTTTCCTTTCACCC